CACACTTTAACTTCCATGCATAAGGATGCTGCAGATTCTTAGACACAGTCAACATCATTATCTTCATCATCAAGCACACATAGACATGCTAATTTCAGTAATTTCTCCATAAACTAGTATGGACTCATAATAAGTGAGCAACTGACAGCTGTCACTATATCACTATAAGATAAATGTTCCTAGATATAATGAAATAGACAAATAAAAAACAAAACATGTGATGATTTTTTTTATAATTCTTTAAACAGCAGACAACTATTAGCTGTTAATAATAAATGTAAATCAATATCAGAAATACTGTCAGTTCTTACCATTGCTTGTGAAGTGATTGATTCTAAGGTGACCGATAAGGCCCATGGGCCTCTTGTTTCTAATCTTAAATTAATTTTTCAATGTATTTTTTATGCACAATATGCGTACCTCAAGTGATTTTGCTTATTATTTTAGATTTATGATCTTTACATTTATTTACTTCTTTTTTTTGTTTGATATTTATGTATTTTATACATCCGTCAAATGACAGGACATATTATGGTATTCTCGTCTTCCATCCGTCCATCTTCCGTCCGTATGTCCCTCTGTTCGTAAACATTTCAATGTCCCAGCGATTTTGGAATTTATTAAGCCTTAACAGATTTCTTTTAACTTTCATTGCAAGCTTAAGTACAATCAAAGCTAGATTGAGTTTGATTTCCATGATTTTTGATCCACAATTTTTAGAGTTACGGCCCATTAATGTCTGTAACCTTTTCAATGTCGGTGCAATAACTTTGCAAAGTATTACGCAATTACCATTGAAACAAATGCAATATATTATATACAGCATAAATAGTGTAGGTGATAGTCAGACAAAATCACAGGCGTATTTCGTGACCTGAAACAGGCTTTTGTTTTTTTTTTTCGTGTGACAAATTAAAATGATTGTTCAATATATGAATATTGTCAGCATTCCATTATACCTTCATAGATCCCTATTAGGATAAACTGACGGGACAGAGCTTGTTTGTTACACTATCAGAATAATGTAAATCACTCATACTGGTGGAGGAATTACAGTGATTCTAGCATTAAGTTGTATGGTTGCCAATTTATTTGCAGATAAGTCAATACCATTATTACTATTGCAGCCATGGTCTTTTGATGGCGTCGTTAACTTCACCTTGTCAGAATATCCTAATGGGGCAATATTTTGTACATCATGTGAGAAAAAAAGGCATATTTACAAAATTAATAACCAGAAGTAGCAAAATCACAGGGACTTTTCGAAATTATTTTTATTATCTTAATTATCTAGACAAGCCATTGTGGCTATATATAAATATGCAAGTGTTTCTGACTTCGTTTTAAATAAAAAAAATAGTTGTGGAGTGATGGCTTTTGATAATGGATATATGTATATCTAGTTTTGATATATGCTTTATTTGACAAGGAATGTCAATTTATTGTTGTTAATAAAGTTACTGTTTCAATTTTGTTGTCATTGGTCCGTTTTTCCTTGGCCCGGAACTATTTCTGAAGGCGTCTATTTGCATCAACACTGCATCGTCATGCCGGTAATTACGGGCTTAAAATAGATTTTCTGTTGACCAATTTCATTTGACAGATGGGATTAAATCCCTAATGCGTCATATCGAGCGTAATAGCTTATTGGATAAATATTTATAGCAACCTATATTGAACTTGGGGAAACCCGTTCGTCCGCCATGGTGTTTCACGTTGTAATAGCAGCAAGCTGCAAGATGAACTCGAGTAATTTTACGGATGTTTCCTTTGATTGCTTTTCATTATAACTACTGGAGCATGCATAAAACATCCTTGTGTCGTTGTCACGAAATGTAATAGATGTAGCAACAACCATTTGTACCTTAACTTTAATAAAAACATGCCAAATGTCGTATCTTTCTAATGGGAAGCCTGTTACGACGGAGATGTGAAGGGGACGTAACTCTTGGCGAACGACTACTATGTTATGAGAAGTTCTCAAGAATCAGCCACGAGAGACTAGCACATCTTTCAAGTCTGACGAAAAAAAATCAGGGCTAGATGTTCGAGAATAAATAGGAGCTGAGAGCTGCTGGAAAACTTTGTATTGGAAGTTGTAATCTCTTATATGTCTTTTGTACAATTTGCTAACGTGTTTTGATCATTTGGGCGGGATGTTGTATGCATTTGCCTTTTCTGATTTCTACACAACTGACTTCGTGTTTTGTTGTAACGGTTAGGTAAATAAATATCTGCTTTCTATGTTTGGGTATATAATCATCTGTCACCGCCTTTACGATACGTTATAAACTTTACTAAGTTTTGTTTTTCACCCGTCACTGAATTTTACAATATCATATATAGTAATAGGTAGCAATCAACGAGCGATTTTTCATAATTTCCAATCATATTTGAAGTTGGTAATTCTTTATTACACTCAAGATGTGGAGTTAACACAATGTGTTAATACCGTACTACAAAGCTGTTACTTCAAACAAGTTTAGTTATATATATAACAAAATGGATGTAAATTTATTATCGTGATTGTATTGCGTTTTTACAAAGCTGGAAATATGTCTGTTGTTTCAATACAAACAATAGTAAAAGGCTCACTGGTAATTTTGTCATGTAGCATACAAATATATATACATGCATCCATCCATCCATCTCAAGCAACAAGACATGTTAATTTCAATCTTTACGGTCTTACAATGTAACAGGTAGACCATGATGCTCTTCATTATTATATAGTATGCATGTACCAATACAGATAAAATGGAAATCTGATGCTCCCCAGCATATCATGCTATAAATAATATACATACAATATTACAGGTAACAAACGATAGTCTGTATTATGTTATACATGCAATATTACAGGTAACAAACGATAGTCTGTATTATGTTATACATACAATATTACAGGTAACAAACGATAGTCTGTATTATGTTATACATACAATATTACAGGTAACAAACGATAGTCTGTATTATGTTATACATACAATATTACAGGTAACAAACGATAGTCTGTATTATGTTATACATACAATATTACAGGTAACAAACGATAGTCTGTATTATGTTATACATACAATATTACAGGTAACAAACGATAGTCTGTATTATGTTATACATACAATATTACAGGTAACAAACGATAGTCTGTATTATGTTATACATACAATATTACAGGTAACAAACGATAGTCTGTATTATGTTATACATACAATATTACAGGTAACAAACGATAGTCTGTATTATGTTATACATACAATATTACAGGTTAGTGTATATATATACAATATTACAGGTAACAAACGATAGTCTGTATTATATACATACAATATTACAGGTAACAAACGATAGTCTGTATTATGTTATACATACAATATTACAGGTAACAAACGATAGTCTGTATTGTTATACATACAATATTACAGGTAACAAACGATAGTCTGTATTATGTTATACATACAATATTACAGGTAACAAACGATAGTCTGTATTATGTTATACATACAATATTACAGGTAACAAACGATAGTCTGTATTATGTTATACATACAATATTACAGGTAACAAACTGTATAGTCATACAATATTACAGGTAACAAACGATTATTATGTTATACATACAATATTACAGGTAACAAACGATAGTCTGTATTATGTTATACATGCAATATTTCAATATTTTATTATGATATATATACAGGTAACAAACGATAGTCTGTATTATGTTATACATGCAATATTTCAGGTAACAAACAATAGTCTTTATTATGATATATATACAATATTACAGGTAACAAACGATAGTCTGTATTATGTTATACATGCAATATTTCAGGTAACAAACAATAGTCTTAATTATGTTATACATACAATATTACAGGTAACAAACGATAGTCTGTATTATGTTATACATACAATATTAAAGGTAGAAAATCTGATAATATGGAGTTGAGAAAAAGAGATTATATGGAGTGGGGGAAAAAAGTGATAATATGGAATGGGGAAAAAGAGATAATATGGAGTAGGAAAAAGTGATCAGATGGAGTGGGAAAAAGTGATCAGATGGAGTGGGGATAAAAAAGAGAAGATATGGAGTGGGAAAAAGAGATAAGATGGAATGGGAAAAAAGAGATAATATGGAGTGGGAAAAAGAGATTATATGGAATGGGAAAAAAGAGATAATATGGAATGGGAAAAAGAGATAATATGGAGTGGGAAAAAGAGATAATATGGAATGGGAAAAAAGAGATAATATGGAATGGGAAAAAGAGATTATATGGAGTGGGAAAAAAGAGATAATATGGAATGGGTGGGAAAAAAGAGATAATATGGAATGGGAAAAAGAGATTATATGGAATGGGAAAAAGAGATAATATGGAATGGGAAAAAAGAGATAATATGGAGTGGGAAAAAGAGAAAGTATGGAGTGGGAAAAAGTGATATAATATGGAATGGAAAAAAAGAGATAATATGGAGTGGGAAAAAGAGATAATATGGAGTGGGGGAAAAAGTGATAATATGGAGTGGGGAAAAAGAGATAATATGGAGTGGGAAAAAGAGATGATATGGAGTGGGAAAAAGAGATGATATGGAGTGGGAAAAAGTGATAAGATGGAGTGGGGATAAAAAAAAGAGAAGATATGGAGTGGGAGAAAAAGAGATTATATGGAGTGGGGAAAAAGAGATAATATTGAGTGGGAAACAGAGATAATATGGAGTGGAAAAAGAGATAGTCAACCAACTACTGTAAAATTCTTTTAGTTTGATATGTAGTCTTTAATGTATTTCCTTTTTTGAGGAGAAATAGTATTTAGCTGTAGGTAACAAAGTGATATGGGAGAGGGGGGAGGGGGTGGGGGTGGGGGGTGGGGAGGGCGGATCTTTCATTTAACATTGTCTATCAACAGAAAAAAAAACTTGTTACAGTGTAAATCAGATGGAATAAAAGCAACAAAGATCTAAGATTTCGTTCATCATTTTGATTTATGACTGTGCAAAGATTACATCGTGAACTTATCGAAAGTTGCATGGTATTCCATAAAAGATGTAAATCTGAAGAATACAGACACCGGTAATAACAAATCATATTCTATCAAACTGATTTCTTTAGGAAGGTCACCTTGTTTCATTATCCGGGTACTTGTAAACTCAGGTAGCAGAAAGCTGTCGTTTACCCACAGGATAAAGTTACAGACCATGATAAAGATTAGAACTGATTCGAGCAAATTTACGTTTGATCGAGGATAGAACTTCCTACATCGATTAGCACAGAGTAAAAAGACAACTTGAAGATAATCTTGAAACATACCGCAGACACTTTCAGATAAAACAAGTTTCGCTAGGTAATCGGACGACAAGTCACCGGCGATCATTTTGGATGTGTGAGCAATAAAAATTCCAAAAGCAGACAGCAGATACACATATTCTCTGAGCTTCAAACCAGTTGGTGAACCATTGGGACTGCAGTAATTGATTAAACAAAAGAATCCGGAAAAAAGCGCAAGCGTCATGATACATTTCAAGATAAATGAATACATTTCAGTGACCAATCTAACAGTTTCGGTGTTTCCTATATCCGTAGCCATCATTATGTAACAAACAACAAGTCCAATTCCCGTCGTTAAACTCACTGCCAGTGTTACCATCTGACACACAGTCCTTTTGCTTCTGTTTCCGGACTTTGAAGGACTGGTGGAAGTGACGTCATCAAGCAGTGGCATCGTCTCTACTATGTCCGTGTCACTACTCTCCACATGTCTAGGATAACTTCTATCACTTTCTGGATTGTTTTTTGTCGTGGGAGACCATATTTCAAGAACAATCGTGATTGACAGAAGAGAGTACTCCACACTTGTTTGGTTAAGAAGTTGTTTTACTTTTACCTTAAAAACTGTTACTGTGCTATTGTTTTGTAAACAGGAAAGAAATTGGTCTTCAGGGCTGATTTCTTGCAAATATGACAGAGTATCATGCATAATGTAAATGTAGAATATAACAGATGTATTTGTAGTTAAAATTAAAAACGTGATATAATTCACTAAGAGAGTATGTTTCAATACGAATGATGAAAAGTACGTGATAAATATCATCTCTGAGAAAAGACATATAATCAGAAAGATGTTAAAACAAAACAAAGCCCTCCAATAAAATCCATCTGTTGATGTAACAAAACACTCGATCTGTTTGCCGACGAATAACGCACAATACAATCCAGACGCCAGACCAAATCCCCACAAGAAAATCACCTGCAGTTTCTGGGAAGCACTATTTCGTCTTGAATTAACCACGGATTCAACGCCATTCCTCCGTACAATGTAGCCAAGAATGTAAATTCCAGTCATCGCCGAAACTAAGAATAAGGATAGAAGAATAACGACGATCCCTAATCGATCTTCCGCTTGCGTGTGTATTCCTTTGCTGGCGGTAAAGACTATCACAATGGCAAGAACGATCAGGAACAAAACACGCGATGTAATGGTACAATCATAATACCAGGATCCATTTCGCTGTCGTCGAGTATGTCCAGCTGTAAACGGTAGAATGAAGATTGACGTCAACAGTTTACCACAGAAAGAATCCATTGTCATGTAGAATCTGAAAATTTGATGGAAGAGTTGATTTATTCTTCTAAATTAATGTCAGTTTAATTGTAAGGTGATTCCAAAAGACAATAAGGAAATGTCTGTAGACTACTGCATTGAAAGCATTAAAGTTTGATGACTTCACTTCGCTTGATCGGATGAGTCCTCCAACACTTATACAGATAACCTATAAAGAGATAATTTTGAAGTTTGTGAGAGAAATGATTTCAGAAGCAAACGTGCTCCGGTACATCTTACAGCATAGATCTTATATGAAGGATATTTTTAAAAAGTATAAAGATAATAGGACGAGGTGATCCGGAAAAGTGAACACCTTATGCTTTATCGGCGTCATCTATCGTGTAGATATTAGTCGATCCAAGTAATTAATGGCATGTTCTTAAATGAGAATGATTATTTTGCTAAAGACACACTTCTAAAAGATGCAGCAGTTACCACAATTACTTTAAACCTGGTTATTTTACTGCAGTGCATGCTTCACGATTTCAGTTGGCAAACTGTACGCTTCAGGGTTATTTTCGCGATCTGTGTACTTTCGCATATCTAATGGATATTTTGATATGATATGCATGGTATACGTCACAAAGTCATACGCGTGAGAGAAATTTACGGGACTGAAAGATGCATATTAAGTGTAATGTCCATCACGCATTAATTTCAAAGTTTACACTAAGCAAACTGCAGTATACAGCTGTTTGGCACCTCTAGGGCTCGTCAGTGATGATCGTGGCCTATTTTAATGAAATTAATGAATAACTTATACCAATTGCTCAAAATAAATGTAAAAAAAAAACCAAACAAATTGAAAAAAAAAAAAAAAAAACATGGGTTGGTGCAACAAACCCAAAGGTAGACAGAATTCCTTATTTCGATATGAAATGAATTCCAATGGTTGTCAAGAGAATGTGTATCCTCTAAACCATGCTACTGTTCTGTTCAAAATTTAAACACGGCATCTAGGTGAAGGCTACTTAAACAAAACACACACCATTAAACGTCAAGAAAATACCAACATGTCAACATGATCATAATCCAAATACAAATTCGATAAAACTTGGGACAGATATGAACAAGAGAAAGATTTACAAGGTGACTCTTAAAAAAGTCACGGAACTCACGATTATTTCCTTGAAGAATAACTCATTAAAACTCATAATAACTCATGAAAACTCGTTGTTCAAAACATGAAGCAGACAAATTGTAGTTTTTTTTCAAACAAATTACTTATGAAAACGTTAATTATATAATCCAGGTTGTCAGTTAACTACGGTATCATTGCATATTCTAAAATAAGCATTTGATTTTTAAGTCTTAAAGTAAACAAACTATACAACTTGTCAATATCGTTTCTTACTAATCAATGTATACATTTGAAATCTTGGTCAACATCGTATCTTACTGTCATCAATGTATACATTGAAAATCTTGGTCAATATCGTATCTTAATGTTTTCGCTTTATACAATCTTGATTTTTATATGATTATTTACAGGTAGTCTTACTTGTATATAGTTTTTTCACTCTAATCAGTAAAATATTACCTAGTCTTACGTCAGTGAACATGTTTTTATCTTACCTGTAATTAATATACTCCTATTTGTATGGTGGTCCAGCTCTCAATTGTAATAGCAATGTACCCCTTGGTCGGTTACTCCTAGTGCCAAAGTCAATATGAAGGTAATGCTTTATCTGTGTCAGTGCTGTACACCACGACAAATTAATCGATCACTTTTATCAACAAGAAGGAAAAAAATCATACTGAATACAAATAAGGAAGGTGATGTTATTTCCAAGAATTATAATTTGAAGAGTTCTTCAGTGAAGAAAACAAATAAAATTTCTTCCGGATTTCTTAAGATAGTTATGTTGATAAGACTGACGTCCCATCAGTAAAAGGCGTTTAATTTTTTTTGAGTCTTTGTGTAATCTTTTCTTTGGTTCATATATTGCCATAGTTTTATGGATTTGAGTTTAGATTATGGTTATGTTGCCATGTTGGTATTTTCTTCATTTTTTCGGTTTGTAATAATGCACTCCTACAACCTTAAACACTAACCGGTGACATAATTCTGCGGTCAGCAATGAAACTCGATACATCTTTTGAAAACAAACTCCTAGTTAATTAGTTGTCGTTCGGGATTCTTGTCGTTTTTTGTGGGGTTTATCGTGGATGATTGGTATCATGTTAGAATTAAACATTAATTTGATTTACTGATAAACCCTTACAAATATTTTGAATGTTACTGACGGGGTATGAACAACAGTATCAATCCAGACATCCAGATATACTGCATTATGCGATGCCCAAAACGTTTTAATATCCCCTCGTATTGTATTCAAATCTAGGCAATATGCTCGTTTTATATATGTATATGTGTGAACAAAATAAATAAAAGTTTCGTTTCCCATTTTCAATCTATATCATCGAATGTAATAACGCCATATCTCTGTCGGGAGAAATCCTTATTAGTGACACAACACTAATGTTGTACCGATATACTTATTTTAAACACGTTTTGATTACTGTTCGCCAACTATTATGAAAATATCAAGAATTTCCTTGGTTGACACAAAAGTTGGTCCCATAACTAATATATATTTTCCAAATTATTGAAAGAGTATGTCTTCGTTATATAGTTCAGCTGATACGAGATTCTAATATAAAATAATCAAAGTGCAAACGTACTAAAAGTCATTTACGTAATAGATAAGACCAGGTGTTATGAAAGGTAAAACGTACCCTACTTCATCGACGACACACTCCATAAATATCTTGGCCTATCAACAATGTATCAGGACTGCAAACAGTATCTTATTATGTAAAAAAGAAATATTACAGGTTAACCAATAGTGTAAACAGTATCTTATTATGTACAAGAAATATTACAGGTAGATCAGGGCTGTAGACAGTATCTTGTTATGTACAAGAAATATTACAGGTAGATTTGGACTGTATACATTATTTTCATATCAGTAATAATTTAGTATGCATATACGGTACCTACACCCATCTTTGTATCCAAACAACAAAAGATTAAAAAAAATCCCGCTCTCCATTCGATCCATGAGCCATCATGGCAGGAACATAGAGTGATCTCCCTTCCTCTTACCTTTATGGCTGCCGTCGAGTGCGGAGGTGTATAAGATGAGTGCTTTATTTATCCTTCTCTTCGTACTTCTATTATTGTCTGAGTATATTCCTACTCCTTTAGTAGTTTGGTAACCCATCTCCCAACTTGGCATATGTTTATTTCGGCCGTTTTCCGGCTATGTTTTCCTCCAAGTTTACTGCTTCGTTGGCCGTTTTGTACGATCGTTTTCTTAAAGCAATCTTGCTGCGTAACGTTAGTCTTGAGCTTTCGTTCGTAGTTTTTTGTTTGTTAGAAAACTTCATTGCCTTGTTTTTCCATTGTTTAAAATTTTTATTGTTTCGAGGATGGATAGTGCCGGTTTACGTCGGGGGTTAGCACATGGGTGTTCCCGTTTCTTCGGAGAACGGGAACCCATGATGCCTGTCCCCTTTTCCGGCCTTGCAGCGAGATTTCGCCGTGCGAACTTTGTTTGCACACAGAGTCTACTGTAAGGGAGGGGGGTGTCTACTGTCAAGGTGGGGGTGGGGATGGGGGTGGGGGGACAGCCTGACCCTGACTCGGCGCAGTATTGGCCGAGAACTCTCGTTTGCTGGCGGTTTTATAGTCGGGCCGCCGGTAACTGATTCGTAAGTGATCCCGACGCGCCAGGTGGTGTTGTTGATGGGTTCCGCCCTGACTCCAGACCTGTACTTTCGAGTGCAGGTTCCGGGGCCACAGATTTCTTGTCAGGGTTATCTGTGGATACGGGGATTAGTGGCACGCAGTTCACTAATCCTTGCGTCAGTGCGGAGCCCGAATTCACGGCCTCACAGGTTGCTGATTCTGGTCCTCTCCGGTCCAGCCCAGAGTTCCCTGTGCAGGGGTACCCAGGGGGTTCCCCCAAGGGGTTGGTTTTACAGGACAGGCGTGCGTTTTCCGATCACCTTTCCCCCGGGCTCTGGGCATACGGGTGCCTGCGGGCATTCAGCCTTGGGCCGCCCAGGCCTGCCTGCGGATGATTCTGGATGCCAACAGTATCCCAGCAGTTGCGGGCCTAACCCGTACATGTCTGGGTGTTCACCTGGTTGGAGTGGTGGTTCATCCTTGTCTTTCGGACAGGGTGGCCAGCCCAAGACTCAGGCGAGCCATTTTGCCCAGTTCTGGGGTCATTCCCAGGCGCTCTGTGTCTAAACGCCGTATGGAAGAGCCTCAATCTCTGGAGTTGGCTCCTCTGGTGGCCCTTGTTCCTCAAATGGAGACTTCGGTCCATGTCGAGAAGAAGATGGATTTTAAGGGCGCGGGATGGCAAAGGAAGACGATGTTATTCATCTTTCTCCTGGGTGCTCGGATATTGACCCATCCGAGTCTTCCGAGACGACCCTACCGGTCAGGAGGGTTCCCAAGGGGAAGATGACCCAGAGGCTGCTGAAGCTGAGGCTCAGCATGCTCTTTCCGGGATGCGGGCCTTCCGGGCCGATGTCTCCCGTATTCCCGGGGCGGAGATTTACCCACCGCCTTCTTCACCGTCGATTCCCGAGTTCACCGCCCTTTTAGGTTCCCTGGTACATCCGTTCGGTCAGATCGGTCTCTGCCAGAAGGAACTCTCGTGTCTTCAGCTCTGGCCACTGTCCTGGCTCAAGTTATGGAGAAGAATTCTTTCTCTACCCGTGCTCCCCGGTGTGCAGCCCAAGTCCAAGCCTCGCTTCAAGGGCAACAAGGTTAAGGATAGGAAGGGTAAGAACCCTCCTTGGGCAAGAATAAGGGTTCTTGACGCCTTCAGCGCCTTGTTCGCGACAGACCATAAGCCGGGTCGGGTGGACGGCTGTCTTCCCGTCTCAACCTCTTGTCCTTGTCCCGGGGTCCGGCTCCGAGTGGGCAGACGATTCGCTGGTTTGGCAGGGTTTCAATA